CGTCCTCGACGCGGTCGTACGCAGGTGCGCGCGCTGCCTCTTCTCCATATAGTGATAGGTTGCAATGGAAATATCTTCTTTTCTCATTTCTCTGAACATGAGTTCATAGATTCGTTTTATCTTTACTGGTGGGACGTTTAAAGCCGAATCCCTCTCCGGATATTTATTTATCTTATTCATCCATACAGCGAGCGACCTGGATGGCCCAGGTGGCGAGAGCTGGTGCCATTTCAGCGCCACGTTCCGAAGGGTTGCGAGCGTTGGGGGCACGGTTGTTTGTCCCTTGTCTTTTATGTACGAGTATTGTTGCGGATGACCTTATGAATCTGCTGACCACAGTTACATATGTTTGACACATGACTTTGTTACATATTTTATATATTTAGAAATATATTACATTTTTTAAATTTTTTGGGGGGTATTTTCATAAAATATTCTCTTATTTTATCAATTTTATTCTATGTTAAACATATTTTTATGAAAAGAAGTATTTTCAAAAATTCTGAATTTTTTCCTGCGTAATTACCAAATGTCGAATGGAGTGCGCTTCGTTAAAACACGGTCGGATGATCTCACAGTCCGGCGCGCCTCCTTCAGTTATCTCGGTGGCGGAAGTGTACGTCAGCTACCGAGATCATTTTCACCTTTAGAGGTGAAAAGTATCACTGACGCCGGGTTTCGTGATTTTGTAACCTTAATTTCCGAGAAACATTGGCAATCGCCAACGCGTCAACACTTCGATGAGAAAGCTGCACGCTGCAGTGATTGTTTGCTGGTCGTAGATATCGCCAGCTTGTACGATGGCTAGTATTGCGTCTAGTCAGGCTGGTAAACTTCTGTTCTGGATAGCAATAAATGAAGGTTTTATTACTGACGGGAAAGTTGTATGTCACAAATTGTGCATCAACATGTGCTCTCCAAATGATTTTTAAAACATTTGTATTATGTTTAGGATTTGTTTGGGAAATTTTTGATAAATGTAATTTTGTATTAGGTAAATGTGTTTTATAACTAGCGTATTTTAATATTACATATTATATTCGACTTTACAAATTCTCACTGTTTACATTACATTTTTATTACATTATGTATTATCATTGTTTTCATTACATATTTATGTACATATTTGGACGTTCATAGTACATATCTTCCGGCCTCCCTCCTTTACGATCAGAACTGTCGTTGCGAATGGGTAATTTGGGGGGGGGCGACGTCCGCGTGGGCGTGCGTGCGTGGGCGTGCGTGCGCAGGGTGCACGTGTGCGCAGGGTGCACGTGTGCGCGGAGATCTGGGGCTGCCTGCTGCGCGTGGCGGAGCGGGGCGACATGGCGGTGGCGATCGACCGCTCGGTAGCCGAGTGGTTCCTGGTGCGCGGGCGGCGCGGCGGCGGCCGCTTCGAGTGGTTGGAGGCGCCGCTGGGCGCGTTCCACGTGACGCAGGTGGCCGGCCGCCGAGGGCCCCTGCGACCGGTGGTCGACCGCGTCGGCGCCGCGCTCCTCGAGACAGGGGTGCGTTCGCCCTTGTGCCTTAACGCAGCGGCCTTTATCACATGCACTAGTAGTTGTTTTATCTTTGAAGACGTAGGCATGTAGGCTCGTTAATTTTGCCGTAGGAGGAGACGTGCGGAAACTCTTGTACTACTGATTTTGCGATTGAGTTCGTCTGATAATAATAATAATAATAACAATAATAATAATAATAACAATAACAATAACAATAACAATAACAATAACAATAACAATAACAATAACAATAACAATAACAATAACAATAACTAATAATAATAATAATAATAATAATGACAATAGTAATGATAATAATAATGGTGATGATGATGATAATAATAATAATAATAATAATAATAATAATAATAATAATAATAATAATAATAATAATAATAATGGTGATAATAATGATAATGATGTTAATGATGAAGTCGGGCCGTAGCGCAGACGGTTGGGGCAGTCGTAGTCTGTACCGAGGCGGCTGCAAGTTCGAGTCCCGCGTACATATGCCCGTATTCGTGATAGTCCCTTCACCTATCATCGTCATCCTATCATCTCATAATTCACACTACAAGGCGTAACAACCTTGTCGTACTGAGGGATAGACCTGAAAAACTGATCCTGGTAAAATTACACACGTTAATCGTGTAGCTTGTTCAGCAATGGCCTACAGGCTAATAATAATAATAATAATAATAATAATAATAATAATAATAATAATAATAATTGTGAAAATTTTCGAGTACACAGGTTTTTCTGGTAAGAAAAATATACGACGACAATGTCTTCTTCTGTACCAGGTTGACGACGCGACGCAGGCTGTGAGGCGACGTTTTGCCTGTCATGTTGCAGGTTTCCTCAAAAGAATCGTCCTCTCAGCCTGCGACGCGGCATCACCTGGATAGCGAAGAAGATACAAACACGAGCAGAGGAAGCTTACGTTGACTCGAAGACAAAGCGATGACGAAGCGGATAGAGATGTGACATCGATGTGGACGTTTTCAAAACATCCAAGTTTTTATAAAATAATCTACGTATTTAAAATCGATATTTGAAGTTTGTACATCGATGTTTCTAAACATCGTTTTTGTTGGCGACGTCGCATATCTACTTTTGGTTAGCCAAGATACTAGAAAAACACTCACAGCATTCATTGACTCTCCTTTTCCTGTAGAATTATGCCTTCACAAAGTTCCAAAACCGGTTGTAACCAAACTTGGTTATAATCAATACGTTTACTGGCAGAAAGAATTGTCTAGACACCACAAATACACAAAGCGAAGTTGACTGATGAGATCATTTATTTCGCTAGAATCCTGCGATTAGTGCGAGCTCTATACTCGAGCGCCTCTCTAAACAGAAGTGGAATAACGCAAGCGTTCCTCTCTCCCCCTCCTTGCAACCACACAAAACATACGAGCAAAGTACAAAACATGCGAGTGTGTTCCTCCCTCTATCTGCAAATACACTAAACATACGAGTAAATCACAAGCATACGAGTAAGTACGTTCCTCTCTCTACTACCTTGCAAACACACTAAACACACGAGCTAGGTACTAAACATGCGAGTACATAAGTAAGTTCATCCCTTTCCTTTCTTGCAAACGCACCAAACCTCCGGGTAAAGCACAAAATACACGCGTAAAGCACGCCCATCCCTCGGAGCGCGGGGAAGCCCGCCGGTGCAGCGCGGTGCGTGCGTGGTGCGCAGGTGTTCGCGCGCTGGTGGTGGAACGTGACGCGCGGGGGCGGCGGCGGGCGCGCGGGGGCGGCGGAGGACTCGCGCCCTCGGCCGCTGCGCGTGGGTCACGTGCAGGGCGCCTTCTTCCTGCTGGGGCTGGGCCTCGCAGCCGCCGCCCTCGCCCTGTGCGCGGAGGCGGCGCTGCCCCGCCGGCGACGCTGCGCGGCCACGCTCCTTCGCCGGATGAACTGCGGCCTACATATACGCACCCCGGAAAATACGACTCTAGCCAAACGTGACGTGGTGAAATAGACATCATTGCTCAGTGGATCTCTTTGATAAAAAGACCTCTGTTAGTAGAGTTGCCTCCTGTTTGAATTGAACCTGGAAACTCCAGATTTTAATTCAAATTTTCGGGCTTCGGGTTTACTTAGATAATTCCACTCTCGGAATTAAAACCACTAGTGTTGAACCATACGTACAACCTGCTCCAATCAGGGCGGTGTATCTCAAAGTTTATCTATCCGATTTTTCATATCGCTTCATTCTGGCCAATCATAAGCTGACTCATTTATCTTAGGAGGCGGTATACATCGATTGTTACGTCGATGTCCAATAAACAGCATATGAACCTTGCTGATTTTGACATAGCTTTCAGTTATTTTTAATATTTGGCGCATTTTGGAACTCTGTAGGATATAATTTCACTCGTTGAATAGCTCTATACATCAATGCTCAATGGATTTCTTTGATCAATGGACCCCTGTTAGTCGAGTTACCTCTTGTTTCAATTTAACCTGAAAACTCCAGGTTCCGAGTTCAATTTTCGGGCTCTGATTTTACTCTCATAATGTCAGCAATATTTGATGCACTTGTTTATTTTACACTATTAAAGTAATTTGGGTATCATTTTAAAAGAGAGCACGGAATTTGTTTGTCATTAATGGGTTTAATATTGTTTATTTCCAGTTCCTATTTTATGGCACTTTCTGAAAATTTCACTTCTGGCTATTGCGATAAGAACGAAATATTCCCGCAGAAGTGGAATAGATTTCGAAAGGGCCTTTTAAAGAAAATAGTTTTTACTTAGGTTAGTCATCAACTTTTCTTTTTAATTCTATTTCTCTTATGTCTTAATAAAAACGACATCCAAGAGAAAATGTAACTATCTTAATACATTATTTAAAAGTAAGAGACCCTGAGACAACAAATTTTAAAATAAATAATTTCGCAACCAGAAGCCCAAGTTGCTTTTGGTTGTATAGCGTGGAGCGTCTTTTAATAGAGTCATCATTCATTTAAAAATTATAATATTTCAATGGAGAAGATATTTCAATTTCGAAAAGAAGACCTTCGTACTAGTTCATTTAAATAAATATTTTTAGCAACTCTATGTTCCATTCATTACCTGAGTTACTACTATCTTTATGTTTTTGGCATATCACCTGAATTGTTATATCCTTTCTGTCGACAAATAAATTGTGTCTCTGTACATATATTCCTTGGTGAAAGTTATAGTAGTTGTGTCACTTTTAATTACAATATAATCCGGATGAAGAGGAGCAACCTTTTTTAAGAATTGAAGTAAACTGTAAAGAAAGAAGAGAAGCGTTTAAGATGACAAAATGTTAAGCAATAAAGCTTTTGGAAATATAAATTGTGATTATTGTTCGTGATTGTTACTTGAAATTCTATTGAAACAATCTTCTTCATATTTACAAAATTATAGAAAAGAAATACAAGGAATTAAAATCCTCTAATTTAATGGTAAATGTTATTCGCGATGTAATTTTAAAAAAATACTGATAAGATTCTTTCATGGAGAAAAGAGTTTTTATTAAGTAATATTTTGAACATTCTCACTAAAAGTATTTAACAAAAGAATGGGAGAAAAGAAAGCGCCACTGATGCATACGCTACGGATTGATTTTAAAACGAAAAAGAAAGTAACATTGCATATGCTACAATACAGTGTATGTTAATAACTGTCAAGCAAAACCAACTCGTTATTTTACGAAAGTAATTTTAGTCATACAAAATTCTGTTTCCTCAGAGCTATCCGGATAATTGACGAGCGAGAAAGTTGATTACGGGTAGGACACTACGACTAAGTTGTTATCAGGATCTGAAAATTCATTCTGGTGTTGAGAGAGATTTCAAGAAGGAGAGTCCTGTGCAGAATGTAAACCCATGTTTTCCTTCAACTGCCCTACCTTGGTACCGACGAACTCGCCAGGTGGTTGGTGTCGAGCGTAAATATGATACCCATACTCCAGCGCGACTATATTATGAATGTGCCGGTCAGCCAGGTATTTGGCCTCTGCAAACGAGGCAACGGATGCCGGGAAATCGAGTCACAGCGGGTGGAAGAATCGCCGAAGAGGGGAAGGTGGATTTCGCTGCCGGAAAGTGTATATTGTACTCACGTTATAGAAGATGCGGGAACAGCTCACCACGGCTCTGATACATTCTTGACATCTAAATAATTTCTGGTTCGTTAAGTAAAGGATGTCCTGTGTTTTGGCAGAAATTCTACTGTATATTGGGCTTTAATCCTTCTTCCGTGTGGGAATTTATCGCATTTATACAATGTTTCAGGAATTCTCAAAGAAGGAAATTGCACCAAGTCATGTCAGTAGAGTGTGCAAGCTGCAAACCACGTGTAATAATTGGCCCCATAAACGGCATGTAAACCATTAAGGAAACTGAATCAGTAGGTATGGTTACGGAGTCCTGTTGAAAATGACCGTAATTACGCTCTTTAATTTACATTTGGAAGAAACGCTCCAGAATACAGTGCGCAATACGGTTTGATATATTTTTCGTATGCGTCATACACAAACTTTCAAATTGTTCATCTTGTTCAACAAGACTGGAACACATGTCTTTTGCTGGGCGAGACCTTGAACACCTTCCGTCCGCAGGGTTCCCAGGGGTCGCCCATGAATTACGTAACGCTAAAGAGGGGAGAGGGGGTTTGAGACAGCCTTACATGCGAAGTAAGGGTGTTACGTAACATTGATTTATTTCTAAATTTTTGACATCTGGTGAAATAAAATCACTTTTTTATGTCTTATGCCAAAACATTAAAATTATTAATTTTTATGTCTTATACCAAAACATTAATTTATTTAAAAAAAGAATTTAAAGTAATTTTGAAATTTTTAACAATAAATGGAAATATATTTTCATAATTTTTATGGAATCTATAAGATTACGAAGAAAATATTCAAAACGATCTAATCGTATATTGTAGAATCCAATTAAATTGGTGCAGTAGATTGTCGCATATATATTATCCACAATATGTGCACGGCTTGTAACAAATTTTCACGTCAGGGTGTCCTTCCTTCACATAGTACTTGTTCCCAATGTTGTTACATTTAGTCAGCTTCGATTATTAATTCTGGCTTTAATTATCATAAATTTTAAAATAGAACATAAATATAATTAATACAAATTTTGTTTTCTGTGTTATAATTTATTTTTATTTCTTGTAAGTGGAGGGGGCGGGTCTTAAACTTACCTCATTATTTAGGGGTGTTCAAGCGCGCGATACGGGTGCGTTACTGTGGGGGAGGGAGTATTCAAAATACTTCACATTTGCGTTTTGTATTTTATGGACTCCACCAGCGAGCGAGGGCCCGTCGGTAGAGCAGAATTTTCCACGATCGCGGCACACTAACAATATAGTCGCATTGCAGTTGGTCCTAAAAACGAGTGAAGACTGGAAATACATTCCATTAAGCTAATTTTTTATAGATTTCACACTAAAAGTATACCGTGTGGTCCCCCTAAGATGTTCTCTTCAATTTTCTCCTGAACCGTTGCAGATACTGAGATGCGGTTTTCACTAAAACTACTATATGCAAGGGGCACATATGGTCATGCATAATATTATTCTATTGCATTTTTTATTGCAGAGATATTGACCCAACATCGATTTTTTAAATAGAACCCTATAGATATTTTTAGCTCATCATAACAAGCGTGAAGAGACGAGTTCATAAATATGCATATCGCCTTATGCTATAAAACAAAATTTTCGAGAAATTAAGAGTTTTAAAGACGCACACCGACTGCTGGTTTCCGCAATCTGAACGAGAAATTTCGGGTGATATGCGGCGAGGCCATTCCCTTCCGTTGCGTCGACCCTGCGGTAAATGTAGTGATGCAATGTGCGAAGGAGCTCACGAAAACCCGCGAATTGTTCTTTAAGACTACACCCTGGGTCAATATCTCTGCAATAAAAAATGCAATAGAATAATATTATACATGGCTATATGTGCCCCTTGCATATAGTAGTTATAGTGAAAAGCGCATCTCAGTATCTGCAACGGTTCAGGAGAAAATTGAAGGGAACATCTTAGGTGGGCCACACGGTATAATACTAAACATTTTATGGTACTACTAGAATACATTTTCCTCTGTGAGCATTGCGGGTGGTAGGTTGTTCCTGCGGGGCGCCACCTCATCGTAGATGTCGCCAGACGAAGCAATCGAATCTTTAACTAGCTGAAACTACGAATATTTAAATGAGAAGAGAGGGAAGTCTGAAAAGAAAATTCATAAAAATATTTTTATTGGATATTCACACTAAAAGAAGTACACAATACATACAAAAATTAGAACACGATACATACCAGGAAATTATATTCATGATGACGGTTTGTAACTTCAGCTTGTTTCGCTCGAATTGGAACTTATACCATCGACTTTCGGTTTTGAAGGAAGATAAGCTGTGACTATAGGATATAGGACTATAGGAAGATAGGATGTGACTGATCCTTCGGGAGCGCGTGTATCAGGGGCAGACTCAGTGAGGTGCTCAGCGAGAGGACTTGGAACGGTAGAGCTGGCTATTTTTCTTCAACATTTTAACTAAAATAAATTTTCAATAGAAAGAAGAATATGGCACTAGGAAATTCTATTCTTGATGTCAGTTTTTTAACTTCAGCTAGTTTCGCTCGAATTGGAGCTTTTATCTTCGATTTCTTGTTTTGTATAATTATGGGGTTCTAGTGGCGTATTTGTGACTGATCCTTCGCGAGCGAGTATATCTGGGGCAGACTCAGTGAGATGCTCGGGGAGAGGACTTGGAGCGGTGGAGTTGGAAGCAGCGCCGTCCTCGCCCTCGCCCTCGCCCTCGTCATCGCCCTCGTCCTGGGGGTCGACGGCGTCGGCGTCGCGCAGCGTGTTGTTCCGCCCGGGCGCCACCTCGTCGTAGATGTCGTCGGGCGGGGCTTCGGGCGGGGGCGCGGGCGGCGCGGGCGAGGGCGCGGGCGTGGACGGCGGCAGGCCGTCGCCGTCCTCTGGCTTGAGCAGGGCGATGCCGTCGCTGCCCATGCGCATGCAGTCGAAGTGCAGCACGACGACCGGGGCGCGCTGCAGCCGCGCCAGCCAGTCCATGCACAGGTGCAGGTTGCGGCCCGGCGTGTAGATGTCGAAGAACTGCACGCAGAAGTCCACGCTCGGCACGTACGGCACGGGCACCGGCACGCACGCCGGCGGAGGGTTCTTGCCTGCGGACACGACAGCAAAGCATACATATTTCTACACATCGAAATTAAAAATTGAAACATCGATAATTACATTTGTTAGAAGAGTAGTTAGATTTGTTACAAGAATTAATCACCCCGACCGGGATTCGAACCCAAGACTCCTGGACTGGAATCCCGTATTATATTGCCCCCAAAAAATAATTATTTTAAATGTAGATCTTTTTAAAACTCCATTAGTAACCATTACTGTTAACTGGGGGGCGGGTAATTTGATGGTGGTTGCGTATATTTGTTTTAAAATCAGATTGAACTAACAAAACATTTAAAAAAGTGGCCAGGACAATTTTAACGAAACTTTGATTATCTGATTAAATAATTAAAAATTATATGAACTTAATTTGTAGACGAAATCTCTATTTTCATTACCTGTACTCCTCGGCACTTTAGTCTGAAGAATGTTAAATTAAGGATATCGCAAAATTATTAAAGATTTTTATTGTGATGATTCGTTTTTCATTAAAAATAGAATATAATTCTAGTAAAAATGCCGAAAACAAAACATCAATGTGGAAAAAACCTCAGCTTCAAAAAATCAAAAACATGGACATTTTGAAAACATCGACACCGATATCGCGCCTTTAATGCCGACCTGTCTGAGTGCTCCGGTACTAAATGCTAAGCGATGTCAGCCTCTCGTCAGTACCTCTACGCTAGAACGAGATATGCGAATTAGGTGGTCATCAGAACCTAAACTCTTGAGTTCCAACTAGCAACTAGTGTGCGATCATAGAGGAAAGTTGCGTTCTCGTGTTATTTCCAGTTGCAAATTAGTTGTATGGATGAGTAAAACTGAGGTGATCTTGGTCGACCGAGAATGAATCCTCGCGAACATTCTGTACATCAGGTAATCCCATGAAATCTAAAATGCCAGTAGCCAGTGCTAGCAGATAATAATTCTACTCTGAGGCACAAATGCAAGAAAATATGTTTTAAGGTACTGGGCGTCTGAACGATAACCAATTTTCTCCAAAATTGATATTCCCCTATCCTAGCCCTATTTTGTCCTAGCCTCTAGGACAAATTTTCCAAAAAATGGCTCTATTTTGATTTTTTTAAGATAGCGTGAAGGATGTTTTAGAGAATGGTACAGGTCTCATATTAGTGCGGTCTCGTATTCCTGATTTTTCGAAAATTGCGGAAGTTCAAAATTTTTTCGGCATCTTCCTACAACTGGAATTATGAAGATAGAGATTTCTTCCATTGATGATATCTGCTCTTAAAGATAGATTTTTAAATAGTCCTATACAATTTTCGAAAATTTGTGAGTACCTTTGCATCAAAATATGGCGAGAGAATCTGCTAGTTGTAACAGTACTCGTTCATTACTAGCAGTACTAGCAGTGCTAGAGTCTAGCATTGTGCTTTAGCAGTGCTAGCAGTGCTAGCAGTTATTGTATTTATGAATTTCGTTTCCAACTTGCAGAGGGGAAAGGGCGGATTTACATTAAGTTGAGATCTGTCTTAATAACGCGTTTGATAGCAGATATTTAGCCGTGTTAATATTTTTCTGGATTTTTTACTTAAGCAAAGTAAACGTAAGAGTATTTTACTGTGGGGACTTCTAGAGAGACATCGGGAGGAGGCACGAGACCTCGTCCTCTGCTCGTAACTTAATTATATTCTTTTATCACCTCATATCATCTATTTATGCTCCGTTATCACAACTAAAGTATACAATCATACAATTTTGACTATTATAAACATAAAATGCGAGGGTGTTATTTATTACAAAGGCCGTTGAAGGCTGTATTGCAGTGAAGAGGTGAAGAATGGGACTCACCTGAGAAGCTCCGCTCGTAAAGCATCGTCTCCCCGAAGAAGAGGCGCGCCACCACTGCGAACTCGTAGGGCTCGTACGTCAGGTTCATGCACCCTGCGGCACACCCCTCCTCACGCACGACGTCTCTTTTTCAGCAATAAATTGTTATTATTTGAAGTATTATTATTAGTTGGAAATATCGTAGAAGGTTCGTCGACATGACATACGGAAAGTTTACATGTACACACATGTGTGGGTGTGTTAAACAGCACAAAATGTAACTGTCTATATCAGTAAAGGTACATGAAGACAAAACGTGAAAAATATATATTATTCTATTATTAATCTTTCAACTTCTATATTTTAATTTCACTTTTATTCAGCGTGCGTTCCATTGTGATGTGTATTGCGTGCTAGCTAATTGTATCAGTGTAGCCATATCTTGCAGTAATTCATGCGCGGATCCACGGGGAGGGAAATGAGGGATATCCCCCCTTCCATGTTTTAGTAAATATTGATTTTAACTGTAACGAAAATTTCAAGCAAAAATATTTTCCGATATTCATTAAAACGAATAGAATCGTATCTCAACATGGGCTGAGTGTACCCTGTGAAATTTTACAAAATCAGTAATGACACATTCGACTAAAACTTTTTTAATTCCCTCTCCCAAAATTTGCCTCTAGACCCGCCCCTGGGTGACTAAAATATCCATTCTCAAAAATGTTATAGTTGGCAGTGAAAAGGGAGAGCTCAAAAATATTTTAGCTCGAAAATGGTAAATTCGCCACTGCTCGGACGAATTTGTCTCAGACGTTTCTTTTAGGCTTGAGGATCTTTTACAAGCAGCAAATATACAGCACGACAATAACCGGCTTTACATGCCCGGCAAAGGAAGACGTGAAGAATTTTTTCGCCTGTAACTATCCACAACTTCGATCCAAATTAAACGAATTTGAACTACACGAACTCGGGCGTAAGTTCCATTCCCTAACTTACCCCACCGCCGTTACAAGCTGCCTGTAGTTGCTACTCCTGTAAGTTCTCTCATTAAATCCTAGCAGCTAAAGAGCTGTTGAATGCTGCCACTGTATGAATGAGAATTCTAGAAGCAGACTGCTCTGATAGGTCGTTTTCGTGCTTTCTCTTATTCGAGGTGAATGCCGGAGAAGTGATCTCCTTAGCAACAGGTCACGTTCCGCTCGCTTTATTTCTCCTTAGTTATTTTTCAACTTTATTTCTTTAGTCTGAGGTATTTAAAGAATGGATTATAGGTTGTGTTTTGTATTAGTAGACTTCGGAATTTTAGGCACAAAAAAGTTATGATTTAGGCATAAAAAAGGTAATTAAATTATGAAATTGGGTACTATTAGATATTAAATGTGACATTTTAAACACTTTAAATAGATTACAAAATGGCTAATCCAGGCAAAAGAACATTAGATAGAAAAGTTATGTTTCTGATCTCTAATACTGCTCACAGACGGATTGAATTTGGCATTTATTACGCAGGAAAATTACATATTTTGACATTTGTTGGAGAGACTATTAGCTTATTATTTTATTCACATTCACAATCAGCCGTATAGTATATAATCAATATTTTCTCCAAATTTTCAAAAGTAAGGCTGACTTTTATCTTTAAAAATAATTTTGAAACTTGAAAATGACTTCCATTGACAGTGATTTATAGAAAGAAACTTAAATTTAGTCACATTTCACATGCCTACTTTTTCTGGAACTTCTTACCCCGTCGTATACACACATACACAAATTACTGTACACTACTCATTTAACCATTGGGCCGTCCTTTGTGAGTTTCACCTTTCCGGTGGTAGGCTTTTGCCTGACGTGTGCCCTCTTCTGGGTTACGAAGACTACGCGCCGCAGCGGTAAGTCTCAACCTGCCAACAGCGCAGCTGCATCAGGAATGGGTGAAATTGCCTAAGAAGTGCGTGCTGATCGGAGACAGCAGTAATGTATTTGCGTTTCCGTAAAACAAATTTCAAAAATCATTATCCTAATTAAAATATGGTAATTCTTCAAAATTACTCGTTTTAGGCAAAAATATATTAAAATAGACATCAACAGTCCTTTTAAGACATTTTTGGCACTATTAGATGCTTTCGGTAAAATTATATTTTCATGATTTGTGAACATCTGCAATTATTTTTCACAACATTCTAAAGGAACTAAATAGGTATTTGTCCAGAAATACGAGGTCTATGTATTAGATGATTTATTAGCATCTTTATAATCAACTATTTTTGCAATTAAGTAGTGCTTTAAATAGCTATAATAACTAGCGGATCAATTTGGCCCTACTTTCTCACTGGCGTCAGGATTCTTCGCCTGGTTCAGTAAATACACTTCTATTAACCCTTAAATGATTTCGCTGCTTCTGACTTCTCTTGAATTTCTTCTAATGAAAGTTATTGTACAGATACTTCTTTTCAATTACTTAGTTTTATTGTAAAAATTACTGAAGCAAATAATTTTGCTGCTGCCTGTATCAAGGTCTTTTCCCAAGAACACCACTTTTTATATCAATTCTGTCACAATATATCATCAAAATATTAATATTTTTTTAAATTTATGCAGTTTTTTACAAACCTTTTCTCTTGACCGAACTCATATCCTGGATGACTCTAACAAAGTCTGTTGCATTGTCAACCTGTCCATTACTCCCCAAAGTTTTCTTACCGTATGACAAATTATTACTATTAGACTCACAATACCTCTCCAACGTTACAGAATGACTCGTTTAAATACGTAACCATTTTTACTAGAAACTATTATATTTAAAACAGTGCTAATATTTACAATATTATAATACTGTAGAATTATTAGTGATTCCGAGTGCGTCAACTGTTAGGGTCATTAGTCCCGTAAGTGTAGCGCATGTGTTTTCCTTGAGAGGCGGTGGTGATCTTCTCTTACTGGATCGAATCCAGATCTCAAATTCCGCACCGAACTTCACGTCGGCTAGCAAGGTTTTCCCCAACCAGGTATCTCCCACCAGCGGGGCATTGCCTTAGCCGGGACAAGCTGTAAGCTCCCGAACGGTCTTCCGATATGTGTGGTGCATGCTTTTTAAGAGTGTGTGTGTGTGTGTGTGTGTGTGTGTGTAAGGGCTGAGGATAGGAAAGGAAAGATCACGCGCGGTCTGAGGTCCGTTTCTTGGGTTACTGCTCCGGCTTTCGGCTGGTGTTGATCGGAGAAACCACGGAAAACTACCGATCAGAGTGGTCGGCCGCTAGCATTCTCCTCCAGACAGCGACCGAATTCGACCCATCTGGCAAGTGTCGAAAATCCTGCCAACGTCGGAACTCGAACCCAAGACCTCCCGGTCAAAGGCCCTGCAGTGACAAGAGTGACAGTGGTCAGAGTAGTCGGCCGATAGAATTCTCCTCCAGACAGAGAGCGCCTGTATTCGACCCAGAGCTTGTGTTGAAAATCTTGGCACCGTCGGGACTGTAACTAAACCCTAGGACCTCCCGGTCCCAATATTTGAGAATAATGACTGAACCGCCGCAGCAGTCGCTTTGTGGGTGAGCGCGAGGAGCGCCTGACCTGCCCTGACCTGTTCGGTTGAAGTTGAAGCTGGAGACGACCATCTGCGCGCAGCATCCGCAGCCGAAGCCCTCGCAGGTGCAGGGCATGCGGCCGTCGAAGGGCCAGAGCTTGTGCGCGGGCCCCGGCCGGAAGAACTGGATCCCTGCGCGCGCGCACACACCACTCAGCAGGGCCACGCCCATGCACACGCTTCGCTTCGTTTCATTAGATGTACACGTGAGCTTCCGCGGCTCGAATCCATAAATTTTCGGCTATCCAGGTCGCAGGCTTCCTCAGTCCTCGTCACTGCCCTGAGGAAGCCTGCGTCATGCCAGGCGAAACGTCGGCCTCCCAGCCAACGACGCGGCGTCTCCTGGATAGCCGAGAATTCATTTGATTAGATTTAATTCGTCAAAGAACAGTAAAATCTCTCTGTGACGTATGGGGGAGGAGTTCTATCTGCGCACATTTTCTAGATTTCCAGAATCTCTTCTAATTTTGTACTATAAATAGTTGAATATCTCTATTCTCTATATTTGTACTATGAATAGTTGTATATCTCTATTCTCCTCTATATTTGTACTATAAATAGTTGAATATCTCTATTCTCCTCTATATTTGTACTATAAATAGTTGAATATCTCTATTCTCCTCTATTTTTGTACTATAAATAGTTGTATATCTCTATTCTCCTCTATTTTTGTACTATAAATAGTTGAATATTTATATTCTCCTCAATATTTCTACTATAAATAATTGTATATCTCTATTCTTCTCTATTTTTGTACTATAAATAGTTGAATATCTCTATTCTCCTCTATATTTGTACTATACATAGTTGAATGATGAACTAAATTTTCAAAAAAAAGCGAGGTTAGCAACATTTGGAAACTACGATATTTTTGCTCTCGAGTTATAGAAAACTTATTTGCGTCGTTAAACGAACTGATATTTTTTGTATTGCGTACAAAATAGTTACACACCCTAGCCATACTACTACCATTACTAGCTAAAAGGGTTGCTCAACAAAACATGCGTATAGTAATTCCATGTATATTTATGTCCAGAAGCAAAACAAGTCTCTCTTCATTGAAATCTTACCATTGTCTTGCCTATTTATTTAGGAATCTGTGGATTGCGTCAAAATTGATTTACTTAACTGTGGTATATTTACAAAATGAAATTGTGCGTAATACAGGAAGCTTCACATTCAGGAGCCCTACGATTTATAACAGCTTGTTTTATGGACATGAAATCCAAATATAATATCATTTCACTGATTGTTTTCTATTTTAAAGGTTTGTTTTAAATTTCTACTTACAAAAGAAGCAAAAAATTATTTTATTATTTTTGTCTATCAAAAAAATCATGGAAATTAATATTATTGACTCGGTAACTCTCCATTGGAAAATAAATAAGAGGTCGTTTTACTGAAGTGTGCAAACTTCACCTCTTCTTCGCTTTGACCAATTCATTTCCATTTTTAATACATCACTATTAAAAATAAATTACGTATAACATTATATTATATAGTTATTAATGATAAATGAATTTAACTTTTTCAATTAAAATTTAACAAAAATCTACATCAAAAGGGAGGGGGAATTTCCATATATAATGCTACTATATTGTTTAAAATATAAAGTAATGGTATTTTATTCGTTGCCTTACACCATTTGGTTGTGAGAACATTGCGATGTAGCATTCGTACTCCTGTGGGCCGCCCTGGTCGAGGCAGGTGGACGAGACGAGTGAAATAATAAATAATATTAGATACGTAAATAAGTATTAATTATTCTTAATAAAATATTAATTAGGGGTAATTTTTTATTAATCTTACATGAAGTGTAGTTACTTAATTTTGAAAATCGTTATTTATTACAAAGAAATTGTCGTTTTGTGTGAAACGATCACACTTTCTTGAAGGATAAAAGATAAAAGAAATGCCGAAATGTTCAAATTGCTTTCTTTCATCCGTGACATTGCTTGCTTAAAAAGCTTTTTTTCTCTGAGCAGGATATATTTACCAGTTATGCGTTCATAAGCATCCTCTTACGTAGTGGCATCACGTGTAGTATCGCGGAATATGAAAGACAGAATGAGTGGTATTGATTATTGGGCTTGTACTGTGCAATCGAAAAAGACAGTACCGTTTTTTCTTTAATTAATGTGAATTCAATCACTTAATAACACGTAACTGCCTACCTATCTTGAAAATAAAACAGGATGGACTAATATTTTAGGTGTCATTTATGTCACAAATCTTACAATAATCGTAATTATGATTGAGCGCCGCTCTTCCTCCTATATATGTCCGGTAAGAGTATTTGAGATCCACGTTATTTTCGCAAGAAATATTTTTTTTGTCTCATCACTTTGTTAACAAACCAAAATAACAGAAAGCGATTTATATTTCTACAACCCGCTTGTATATGGAGCCAACCAAAAAGACAAACTGTACAGAAGTCACACGGCTCTCCCTCGAATTATCTTTCCCGCTAAACACCTCCCGAACCAGAAACTCATTCGCTAACTCACCTGGGTCCACCTTCTCTCCTTCGGGCCGCGCCCCATGTTTTTCAAGGCCTTCTGCGTTTTTGAGGTCGGCGTCGCGTCGCGGCGTGTCGCCGTCGGCGGCGCTGGCGGCGTAAGCGGGGAGCGGAAGCGTGCCCATCAGCGCAACCAGCAGCAACAGCAGCACGAGCGGGGGCGGGGGCGGCGGCGCGGCGCAGGCGGCCATGGCGGCGAGCGCGCGTGTAAGAGTGCGTGAATCTGAGCCCGCGTCGCGACTTTGGCGTCGATTCGCGCTCCGCCGCCTCCCTCGCCGCCGGGTACTGTTAGGAATGCCGCGCCGTCCCGCCGTGTGTTGCATGCGACTCGCGTTTATCGCCCTCCTTCGCGATGCTCGTTTTGTCTGCTCGTTAGGCACGAGGAAGAAGAACAACTGCTCCGCCTCGGGTCTCTGACCTCGCTGTCGTTCCATGCAAATGCTTCTGCGGTATGGAATTGCCTTCTTCCAGTCGAGTTGGATTCCAGAGATGAATCCATTCGGGCTCTATTCTTTAACATCTGTTTTTTAAAGGCAGCTCCCGAAAAAGGTTGGATTTCAGTCGAGTTGGATTCCAGAGATGAATCCATTCGGGCTCTTATTATTCCAACATGTGTTTTTCAAAGACAGCTTCTGAAATAAGATTGTGTGCAATTGTTTGAAAATATGAGTAGTTTTGCGTTATTTTGTGTTTTGGGTCATTTAATTATTTTTGCAAATACGGTTATGTATGTTTTCTTCGAATTTTCTTCTCTTATGTATCTAAGGACGGTCAAAAATTGGTGCTGGTTCCATTTACAGCGACCGCTTGGTATTTTTAAAAGTTGCAAAAGGTTAACATTTCAACACTACATTTGAAGACTGAGATTTCTGAAATGGATTTTGTTCTAAAAAATATTAGTTTTAAAAAGGTGTACATTTTTTTGAAAAAAAGAGTTGTCACTTAATTTCTTCTTGAAGATAATGCAATTTATAAAAAAACATCTTCTCCAAAATTGCTTCAAATTTTTCTTATGTTTTCCCCCCAAATAGAACAAGAGACGCCTAAAGGAATGTCAAAGGTTTATTTTTGTTGAACTGTCTGAATTTTCAAGAATTACAAAAGTTTTAAATCATACGTAAAAGTACGTTCTGTTGTAGCACCACAAGATTTAAAGAAAATCCTGTAATCGCTAGCGTTGTCCACATGTGGGCGAACGGGCAGGTAGACATTTCGCTGGAAACCTTTTTTTCCGTAACGGACACTCACAACCCATGGATTCTGAGAACACAACGTGTTAGAGGAAGTTATTTAATACTTACAATACAAGAGAAAGAATTATCCAGCCGGGCTGGATACCCGAGGTGCCTGAGGCTGAAGGGCCGTGGCTGCCTTGAAGGGTCGAATGTACGAATCCCGCTCCGGGCACGGATGTATGTATGTATGTATGTATGTATGTATGTATGTATGTATGTATGTATGTGTGTGTATGTGTATGTATGTTTGTGTACGTATGCGTGTTTCGTTACCGTTAACCCAAAGTTATAAAACCAATATTAAATTAAAGAGGCCTCTATATGACCATAGCAATTTCGCCAAGTGACAAAGCAAGTTTCAGTAAGATAAAAATAAAAGAAATATCCAATTTTCGGTGTCAGAATCCCAAAGGATGAGTTTTTATGTAAAAAAAAGCGCTGTTTTCCGCTGCAGCATTTCAATTCTTTCTACTCAGCAAGTCGAAACGGCAAGTCGAACGGCGAGACGGACACACAGATGGACGGACGGACGGACGTTTTGAAGAAATCACATGTGTGGTATCAGAGGACGGCATCCAAAAAGTATATTTCCGTTGAAATCACAAAATCGATTTTCCGCATCATTATGTACCGTTGTCTATCCTCTATGTATTACTCCATGTATACGTATCCACACGAGACGTATTTAAGAGGCAAATAGCCTGTAGATTTGGAAAGCGGTAAATTAAATTGTGTGGTAGGGCAGTGCATTTAGTGTGTGCACGCTAGCCTATCTGTCAAGCTAGTGACGAAATTCTTGCCACCGTCGAGACTCGAAACTCCCTGTTAGAGGGACTGCAGTGATGCCCTGAGCCATCTCTTCTGGTGAAACTGGACGAAAATGATCGAGATGAGGGTCATTGATCTAGAAGCTGATATACAATACTTATTACAACCACGTTTAGTCTTCCATAATCATAGAGTACAATTGGTAACTTTTGAATTCAAATTAATATTATTTTACTTTTTATTACTCAGTATAGACTATAATTGTAAATAAATAGTATTGCTAAGAGAGAAAGTTGTTCTGAGACACATTAATTCATTTTTATTTATTCAATTCAATTCAATTACTATTTAGTTACTTCGCTTTATTAGTTCAAACAAGGTGTAGTTAGTTCAAACAAGGTGTGGCGTGCAAGGTGATAGTAGAGGGAGATTAGACAATGTTCAACATTCTATTGAACATTGTCTAATCTCCCTCTACTATCACCTTGCACGCCACAACTGTGTCTTAATTACAGAAGTCGTTGCCACTATATCGATGTGAAACTATCGGAGATGAAACTGGGCAAATGACAAATTTACGGTGAAAGACCAAGTACAAATGGCTGGCCATATATCCAGGAGAAGCAATCGAACTTTGTTTTACCCAAAGTTCATTAAGGAAAATCTTGTCAAAATCACTATCGGGTGGTTACTTAAATAAAATAATAAGTGGAATCCCGTGCGATTAAATAGCATGGGGAGTTTTAAGACCGAATTCGGTTTTACTCGTCCGGGTATTTGTTTATCGTTCAGACAGGGAAAGAATTAAAGTCTATCCCCGTTCTGGCTTGCCTTCCCTTATGCCGAACTGCGCAAATCCACTCTGCTCCTTTCCACACTTCTCGTCCTTTGCTACGTCGCCTCAGCGCGCTCTTACCCTGCCATGTTTTCTACGACCACCATTGAATTGAATTGAATTGAATTGAATTGATGCCTTATTTTACGTGGTGAGACTGGGGCTATGAAGCCCACTCTTACGTCTGACCACGCAAATTTCGCTACGTTCCTTTCACCCACTAGCGGAGAAAGGAGGTATTTCTTGGGTGAGAAACAGGCGATTTGAATTTAGCTCAGAGGCGTCATTTAGGCTTGAGACCCTTTTACATGCTAGTAAATCTACTAACATGGGACATCCGGCTTTACTTCCTCTCTGAAAGAAGGCGTACGAAGCATGTTTTCGCCCTTAAAAATCCACGGCTTCGATCAGGTTTGAACTTGGGTCTAACAGTCCGATACGCTAACCGTTTCACCATTACCGCCAATAAATGCCATTGCTATCACGCTGAAAATTACTCACCAATTCAGAAGTGAAGTGGAAACACAGATTGGAAAACGCAAATGCAACTCCAAACGGCATTGAACTAACTGCGCAATCTAACACTGCGCGCAAAAGATGCGCTGCGACTTCGCTTCCATGGAACCACCAGAACTGATTGCTTATAGTCCCGCCAGATGGTGCTTGATGTGGACATTCCAAAAAAAATTTATTATTAATATTTAAACTGCATAAAGGCCTACAAGCATTAAAGTGGCAGTCATCGGGGACTTCAGCTTTCAAGCAACACCTTATATGTTGAGATAGATTATGTTCATCCGGAAAAGGGATGTTTACATATAACATTAAAAAATATGTTATACTTTGTTTTCATGAAAATATTGTATGTTCACATAAAACAATTTTTATAAATAATACATGTGTTGTATTATTGTGCAAAAAGGCTTGTTTTATAACCGAGACAGTTGATGTACTAATTATTCATAACATTTTTGGCGGATTATTTTAATATTCGTTAACTCGTGTTAAACAGTAATCCAGAATCCAACAAAATTACATTGCAATTTTCAAACCCGAAAGGGCAAAAGGAAAAATAGTATATGAAATAAAAAACGGTACATTTAAAATGTTTATATTTTTCAAATTAAATTTCAATATAATAAAGAAATGTAAAATAAATTAAATAAATAACGCTTGTTTTCTGTGAATAGAAATCCATTAACATCATCTGCAACATCTAATACGGTCAATTTCCGTGATACTTGCGAATTTTTTTCAGAGAGCAGCGTTTGTCTTAACAAAATGTACAAATTCCGACTTCATTCTACAGTCTTGTGTACATGCCTTGAGGACACTTAAATAGGATATACAAATATCTCTGAAAGGAAGATACATAATTTTCCTTCAGTTGATAATTGGACTCCATCGAGAAGATATCCCACACATCAAAAAGTCTGAAATAAATGGCACTAAACAATATTGATGTATCTGTTTTGCGAAAAAGTATTCAACTTCACATCACATTGCATCTAGCCCGTGTTATTCTTGAGCGTTACTGGCAGTTCTGATTTCCCGAGAAATAACGGCGCGAGTCGGAAGACGTCGTCGTCGTCGTCATCGTCGTCGTCATCATCATCGTCGTCTTCGTCTTCCGGATCGTCGTACTCGTCGTAATCGCTGTCGCCGCCGCCCCCTCCGCCGCCGGCGCCTCCGAGCTGTGGTAACCCACCGCCGTCCTAGGGGGAGAAAGAAAGACTTTTGGTAGTGATGCCGAGCACGTCAACTGCTAAGGTCATTAGTCCCCTAAGTGAAGTGCATGTATTTTCAACGAGAGGTGGCAGAGGCCTTCCCTCGCTGATTCCCTCGGTGAGATTTGGCTCCAACCTACAGTCGGCTGGTGGGGGTTTTCCCCAACCAGGAATCTCCCACCAGCGGGGGCACCACTCTAGCCGAGATAAGCTCCCGGTATGCGTGATAGTATAGTGCATGTGTGTGTGTGTGTGTGTGTGTAAGGGGGGAGGACAGGACAAGGAAGATGAAGGAAAGAATGCGCACGGTCCGTGGCCCGTTTGTTAGGGTATTGCTCTGGCATTCGTCTGGTTGGTGAAACCACGGAAAACTACCGATCAGGGCAGCCGGCCACTAGAATTCTCGTCCGTCAGCGTCAGAACTCGACCCAGCTTTCCAGCTAACGTCGAAAATCCTACCACTGTCACTGGGACGCGAACCTTCGATCTCCCGGTCAGAGGCACTGAAGTGACGTTAGTTAATGCCAGAGTCCTCTCCGGTCCACCTTCAAAATTAATCATAATATTCTACCAGTTTAAAAGTTTTCGCTTAAAAAGTTATATTAGCTTTCCACCCAATCGATTTCTTTCCTTTAAGGAAATGTAGTAGGCCTCAGTTTCG